TATACACAAGTGTTATTATATTTGGCCCGGGAAATGTAGTCACAGGTGGCGTGTCATCCTTAGTAGCACTTCTTGACTGTGGGGTGGAATGCAGCGACGGGGTTGACTGAAGGCGACCAGCAGTATCCCAGTACCTGTGTCTGTTGTTTCTTTCCCCAAAACGACCAAATTGGTTTTCATGAGTTGTGAGTTGTGACTAATCCTTAGTCAAGCTAACATCCAAATCTACTCTATCATAGTGGACACCTGGAAAACATGGGTCCCCACAGCCAAGCATGTTAACCACCTGTCTCCACGAATGCAAAGAGTGCTTCATACCAAAAAAAGAGACGGGCCTCACAATTGTACTTTAGAATGAATTTGAAGCACTTAATTTATTATGAGGACGCAAAATAAAACTTAGAAATCATTTTTACAATGGAATACCATCTTTTTTTTCATTTTTCAAAGCAGCATCCAACTTATTAAATACAGATTAAATGTTTTTCGATGTTGTAGATTCACAGTGCCTGGATCACTCAACACCTCAGGATGTTTTACTTTCACCTGGAGATAAAAAAAGAAGAATGGATCATGTCAGTGTTTTAACATTTTATAACAGACTTACAAAGATTAAGGATGACAAAACTATATTGAATTAGGTCATGAAGTAAAAAAGACTAACCTGTTGTGGTATTAACACTTTCTAAATGTGGACTCAAAGTCTCTGGTCTCTCAGTGTCTTCCAGTCCTAAAACGTCAATACAAAGAACAACAGACATTTTCATACACTGTTTATACTGCTTAATTAACTGTACTACTACCACAACTACAGCTAATAATGCAATCACTACTCCTGTTAGTACTACTACTAGTATACGTTTTGCTCCTCTTACAACTACTGCAAACCTTTCTTCCTGTTGCTACCACCACAACTACGTCCACAACTACGTCCACTACTGCTGATTTGTTTTAATTTACAACGGGTACTACTACCAATCATACTTTTACTATAACTGCCAAGCCTGTACCGCCTCTTCTGCTTTTAACTCTAGTGTCACTGTTATTGTTGACACGAGAACTACATAAGCTACTCAAACTATTAGATACTATAATAATGATATTTGATCACTACTGTTACAACAACTACTACCCATTAGTACTTTTGCTACTCTTGCTTATATGATATTGATATGTTATTAACTAGTGATGCACCGAATTTTCACCAACTGACTTTTATTACCGAAAAAACACGGCCGAAACAGGAAGTTATGATGACGCGAGTAAAAACCGCTGATAGTGTCAATATGTCTCTGCGGTGTGGACGTATTTCAATATATCTGAGAAAGACCATAACGGAGAGCACTGAAGAACTGAATAGGCCTCTTGGATAACAGGTGGAACAAAAAAACTACTTTGTCTAGTAGCCCTTGACGTATTTTTGGACATAACAGATAGCGATTTGCAAAATGTATAATACTAAAATTTTGGGGGGGGGGCATCTGTAAGGAATTCCCCCAGGTCAGGTTTAATTTCACAGTTGAAATCCCAACAACATCCTGATGGCGTTGCTGATACTGAGACCAGGAGCTCCCCGTGACCTTCACCTCCCCATGACCTTCACCTTCCCGTGACCTTCACCTCTCCCCAGTGGGTCTTCATAGAGAACATTCTCTCTGTTCTTGTCCCGTTGGAGCAGCTAACTAAAGAGAGCAGCTCCTCTGCTGCATCTGGAGCAGATGTTCTTCCTTAAATGGACCACACTGAGAAGTCCACTCCTAGAGTCTGTTGGACTCAGATCTACATCACCACTCTACTACTCTTGATCCACCTTCGAAACATCATTCCTGGGATGAGGGATTTAATCTGACCAGTGGGCCTGGACATTATCTTTGAATGGACACAGAAGTGGAGTCAGGTTTAACATTGGATTTTGAAGTTTCATTTTATATTATGCATATTGGAATGTGATAAATAAATGTTTTCATAATTTTGAATTTGGTTTATTCTTTGTAACATTAAGGTACTAGTAATTGGCAGAATAATTTTTTTCGGTGTTTCAGTTTTTGGTTTTCGGCCTTAGTTTCCTTATTGTCAGTTTCGACCACAAACTTTCATTTCGGTGCATCACTATTATTAACAACAACAATATTAATTATATTAACGAGACCTGTATAGGAGAAATCAAAGAAGTCTTCCTCAAAGGTATCCAGGTTTTTGTTGAGGGAGTCAGTCCGTATCCTAAAAAATGTATTGTGTACAAAGCAAAATTATTTTATATTCAGCTTCAGGTCCCAAAAAATGAGCAATTTTCAATTATCAACACTTGTTACTTACCAAATTCCTCTGTACTTTTTTGTGACAAAGACAGCAGTGATAACAAGGATTACGATGAGAATTGCTGCTGTTATTGACCCAAACACAGCTCCATAAAAGCCTGGACGCTTCCGGTAGTGTTCGCACGTTGGACCATAATACTCTTCTAGACTGTTCTTAAAGCAGCTGTTAATAAAAAGACACGGAAAAGAACCGATTAAAGTGATAAATTGCTTTAGCTATTGATAAAAGAAGTCTGATATTATTAACATTTTACAGTTGTGTTTTTTTCCTCACCTACAAATTGGTCCATTGTAAATGTGGTTGAAGCATTCCCCATGTCTATTACAGTATTCCGGGTTAATTCTGCAAGGTCCAGAACACCGCCATTGACCGTCTATGACCTCAGCCGTGTAATTAGCATATTCACTGCAATTTATAAAAGCTTGCAGGTCTGATATATCTAGTTAAAAAAGAAAGGGTTAGTTATTTCAGTAGAAAAACATGAAAAAAACGACCTAAATATATATTGGCACAATACAACATCAAATGGGCACGTTTGACACGGTGCGTTCTTGTCAGACACTTACTGGAAATTTTTGGAGGTTCAAAGGTTATTGCATCAACTGTCACATTGCTGGTATTGAAGGCCTGGGAAATTGTTTCGAGGTTAGTTGTGTTAGTTAGGATAGTGGTCAAAACTGTATCAAGCTGGTTGTTGATAAACTGGATCTCTGAATCGTTGTTCGGATAACTGTACACAGCTGCGCTGTCTGCGACAATACTTCCTTCTCTAAAACAGCAAAAAATAAATATATTATTATTGGACAAAGAAAAAGTCAGTAATATGATCAAAATTAATCGAATCATTAAAGTTTAGGAAAACACTTACGATAGACGGACAACCTTCACTTTTAGAAAGTTCTCTCTGTCTGCCTCCTTGCATAGTGATGTGAGCTGAAATTATGAAGGTTTTAATTCAGTATCATGAAAACAGAGCAAAAAACAAAAAAGCTCTATTTAGTTTTAAGAATAATTAGATTTTCATTTTCATCAAATTTGATCGTTCTCTGTTTTCATTTGTAGATATTGAACCTTATTAGAAAATAACTACCAAGGGTTCCAATGTAGTGATGAATTTGACAGACAGAGTTGAGTTTAAATCTTCATACTGAGGTGAATACAGCATGTCAACCTTCAAAGTTAAATTTGCTCTACGTTGTGGAATTTTTCCCATATCTGCAAAAATAAAAAACAGACAGAAAATCACAAATGTCTCTACTAAAAACATTTTTATGAATGTTTATTATTGCTTTTTCTATGTAAAACGTACCTACAGCAGGAACGGTGTCATTTACTCCGAATATGCATGTATTACCAAAAATATCATCGTGACATTTGCAGCGACATCCCTTATGCTTGGGGCTGTAGACACAGGTGCCAGCAGCACACCGACAATCCTCTGGTGTGCACACAGGAGTTGTAGAAGCTATTGTTCCTGTTGTTGTGGGTGTGAGGGTGCTCGTGAAGACAGTTGATGTGGGGACTGAAGTTTTAGAGGTTGGTGATGAAGTTTGTGTACTGGGGGAGGTTGTTTGAGACATGGTTGTTTTACTTGTTGTTGGCAATGTTGATCGAGTTGTCACAGCTGAAGTTGAAGTTGGCAGAGTTGTCGTTGAGCTCATTGAGCTTGTTTGTGATGTGCTTTCAGTGGAAGAAGTTTGTTGGGAAGTAGTTGATGATGAAGACGGTGATGATGTGACAGATGAAGTTGTGACAATGGGTTCCATTGTT